TTAGTTAAGTTTTCAAATTGTAGGTTCCATTGGCTTTCATCCTCCAGACATTTTCCAAGTGAAGTACCTCTAAATTTAAAGAGTGTGCCCAGTTATTAATTTGGAAAGTTTCCCTGAATTTCTAATACAGGCAGGAAATAGGAACTACTCTCTTCATTAGTACACACATTGCATGAAAAAGAATCGAATCTTTCGATGCTGGTCCTGGGTGGTTACTACCAGTACCTGCTGTTGAGCAGCTCAGTTACATAGATGTCATTTGATCCCTGTAATGTCTGTGCATTTTACATAGTTTGGGTGCAGAGGTTTTTCTGTATATGTGTTTGTGTTTCATAGTTTTTGTTTAACTACCAGACTTCGAACTGTCACTTCTTACTAACATCACTTTGCTTAACCCCTACAACCCCCTTTTCATTATCCCTATAATTAGTTGTTTCTAATCTGCTTAGGAAATCAGAAAAGTGAGCTTGTTAGATTCATTCCCAAAGGGTAAGTAAAAAGACCAAGTAGGACTGTTAGAGCTCAGTTTTAAAAACCTTGCCAACAACACCCTGAAGGCATTTCCATGAGTTGCCCTGAGTGTTGTGTCTTCTCAGTGAAGTGTGGCATCTTCAGTCTTGGTCAAGGATGATCAGCTTAAAATCGATTTCATTTCTGCACACCTTAGCTCCCCTGTCAGTTTTTTATTTTGTGTGTGTAACATATGTACATAGCAATATATATCATCATTGTAATTTCACTGGCCACCAGCTTATTTTATTTGCCCAGAACAGGCTATAAAAAGAATGAAAAATAAATGTCAGGTGTTTCATTTTTGTTTGAAGCTTTCAATTAAAGTATAATTAAGGTATTAGGATAAAGTCTTATATTTATTCACATAAATTCACATTCACCATCTCTACTATTCTTCATTTCTTTATGTAAATCCGAGTTTCCAACTGGTATGTGTTTCTTTTTGGCTGAAGATAGTCCTGTAACATTTCTTGGAGTGTGGGTCTGCTGGTGGCAAATTGTTTGTTTTGTTTTGCCTTTATTCTTAAAATATAATTTTAATGTTTATAGAATTTTAAGATAATAATTTTCTTTCACTATTTTCCATAAGTCATTCCATTGTTTTCTGGCTTAAAGGGTTTCTAATGGAGTCTGATGTCATTTTGTTTGTTATTCTAAATGTAATGTGTCTTTTTTCCGCACTAATTGCTTTTCACTTGTTTTAAGCAATTCGATGATGAGGTACCTCCATGTGCTTTTCTTTGTATATGTTTTGTTTGGTGTTTTTATTTGGGTATGTAGGTTCATAGTTTACAATAAATTTGGAAAAGTTTTGGCCACCATTTCTTCTCCTTCTCCATCTCTCTCTTTCACAATATTGGGGATTAAACCCAGAGTGTTCCATTGCTGAGCTATATCCCCAGTCCTGTTTTCTTATTTTTAATTTGAGACAGGGTCTCACTGAGTTGCACAGGCTGGGCTTGAACTTGTGATCCTTTTGCCTCAGCCTCTTGAATGGCTGGGATTACAGATGTGCACCACCACATCTGACTGGCTATCATTGCTTAAATCTTTTCCTGCCCTACCCAACAACCCATCCCCCCATCTTGCTGGGAGTACAGTGTCATCTGTGTTAGGCAGCTTGATATCCTTCTGGCTTATGAGACTATTCCTTTCATTCTTTTACATCTGCTTTGTTTCTGTGCTTAATTTTGGATAAATTATGTTTCTATGAGTTAACTTCTGACTTTTCACATTTAATTAAATTTTCATTTCCAATATTCTTAAGTTTAAAGCTCCATTTCATCCTTTTGAAATTTCCCTTTCTCTTATTGTGTCAGTATTTCTTTAATATTGAGCATAATTATATAAGCAATATGTATGTTTTTATCTGTGTCATTTTTTAGTTGGATACTATTTTCTGATCCCCCTACTCAGATTATGGACCATGTTTTCCTGCCTCTTGTYATGTTTAGGAATTTTTGTTTAGATGTTTTATGTTGTGAATGTTACATTTTGGAATTTCAGAATTTTGTTATATTCCTTTAAAGAATGTGATGCTTTGTTTTAGCAAAACAGTTAAATTTATTTGCAGACCTGTCTAATCCCCTTGAGGCCTGTTTTTAAGCTCTTATAGGGGCAGGTTTAGTGTATCCTTCACTGCAAAAATAATAGCTCAACTCCAATATAAGATCCGACTCTGGGGGTCTCTATTAAATACCTTGGATAAGTCACTGAAAATGTTCCTTTCTGGTTAATTGGGGCTTGAACATATTCATACTCGATTGTGCACTTTATACTTTACTGGTTATTTTTCACGTTATAAGTGCAGTCATAAGTTGATTGTATAGCTCACCTTGCTGCTTTCTGTTCTGGGGATCATAGTTCTGCACTGCCTAATATCCGGTATCTGAAAGTTTTTGTTTTATATATTCTGACTGGTTTCTTAGAAAAGGTTAAGTCTGATCCTTGCTTGTTGCATGCAGAAATCCCAGGGATTTCATTAAAATTGGTTCATTGAAAATTATTTTTAGTAATTAAACACAGTTCTAAATAGTATGTCTGTGTGTGTTACAAGACTAGACCAAACATAATTTACACAAATTTTGGAGTGAAATATAACAGTGTTTTCATCTCCCCCGTTGATTTTTAAATCTTTCCCACAGACTGAATCTGTTCCTGTTCTAAGCAAAAAAAGAAAGCAGTTCTTCAGTGTGTTCCCATAATGACAGAGGCTCAGGCACTCTCGGAGCTCCCAGGAGGACAGATAGGTTTCCATCAGTCCTTGTCACTGCTAATGCTTGCAGTGCTCAGCTGCTGATCTCTCTTTTGCCTTGTACTTATCCTTTATATTAGGTCTAGATTTTCCTCTTGGGAAGGAATTTATGAATGTGCTTTACAGTTTCTGACTCCATGTGGAAGTCTGTTTAATAGAAACTGTACACGTGAACCAGTAAGAAATTGATGTGTGGATTGAAAGAACCCTGTTGAAACAGTTTAGTGTGGTGAGACAATCTGGGAAATGTGAAGCTCAGAGAAAGGAGTTGGTTTACATAAGCATGACTTTGTAAGGATTGTCTCCCCTCCCCTTGAGTTGAATAAACTAGTAATTTGAAGTTCATTGTTGGTGAGTTTTAAGGCACACAGGGCTTTTGAGTAAACATAGTCTTGGCTTTTGATAGTTTAGCTAAGAAGCAGCAAGGAGAAAAGGATGCCATTTTTATCTGTTTTTGTTGTTTGGTTAACAGTCATTTACTTCAGGTCTATTGTTAATATTCTTAGTTTTCTTTTCTGTTTTTAATTACTCCAATTTCACTTAGCCTCCTAAATGACTCACAATTGCTGCATAAGCTCGTGGGGACTTGGTACATAAGCATCATGATAGTTTTTATTCTCCATCATTAAAATGTCATTTGTACACATGTTGATTTTTAAGGACCCCACCCTCCAGTTTTTCTTTTTAATTTTAATTACAGCTTGAGGAGCATTGGTTGGATCCACTGCTGCTTAGAAAATTTTAATGTATTTATCAAAAAATGTAGCTTCAAGCTGGGCATGGTGGTTCATGCCTGTAATCCCAGTGGCTGCTAATGGCTGAGGCAGGAGGATCACAAGTTCAAAGCCAGCCTTAGCAAATGAGGTGCTAAGCAACTTAGTGAGACCCTATTCCTAAATAAAAAATACAAAATAGGCTTGTGGATTTGGTTCAGTGGTTGAGTGCCCCTGAGTTCAATCCCTGGTACTCCCCACCCCGCCAAAACTTTACTGAAAGAGAAATGTAGTATATGTAATATAGAGGGGACTTTTTTTTCCCCCTTGCCTATTTAGTTGGTTTAAGTTTTAAATTGATAGCATTGAATGTTGGCAAGGATATGGCTGTATGGATATTTTCTTGACCTTCTAGGAAAATGTACACATTTATATGACCCATCTGAAGACAAATTTGGCAATATACATTAAATACTTCTATACTTTTGACCCCATAGTATTATTATATTGGTTTTTGTCCTTGATACCAATCCAATAATGAGGACACGGTCTCAGAAAAAGGAACAAGGTTTATTGCTTTGTTAGCAAAGGAGAAGCCAGGGGACTCCTGTCCCAGAGGCTGTGATTCTGTCCATCAAGTGGAACAAGGTACTTTTTAAAGAGGTGGTTCAAAGGCTACATTCCATGTGTTCTCTGTTGGAGTTGTGATTCACTTGTTAATTTGGAAGATAGTCATTTCTGAGATCTTCTGCTGCCATCCCCAAAGTCTTCATAAATTACTTCATTCCTTTGGTGGGGGTGTACTCAGGGACAGATAACTCTGCCTAGGAGGTAGAAGAAAGGTGATTATGTTTTCCCTGATATTAGGGAGGGGAAGAGATTAGGGAAGAGTAGGGAGAGAGGAAGAGAAAGAAACATCCATTTAAAAAATATGTCTCAGTGACTGAACAGCAAAAGCTATATTCAGAGCGTAAAGTGCACCACTGTTACAGTATTGCTTCTAAGGGTTTCTTTCTTAGAATTGTTTGAAATTAAAACAAAACATACATGTAGAAAGGTATTTATAATTAAGGTATTATTTTTAATGGTAAGATATTAGGAACACCCCAAATGTCTAACATTGTGTGTTTCAGTATGGCATTTTCTATTTACAAAGTACCTTTCAACCATTAAAATGGTTCTATGAAAAGTATTTTGTCACAAAGGAAAAATTGACAGGTTTGAAGTCACCAGTATTTCTAAATGATACATARTCTTTTCACTTTATTTAAAAATGCATAAAGAGTAGTCTGAAATATTTTCCAAACTGGGAGTGGGAGGGTGTTCTAGATATGGGAAGGCAGAGACATGATATTTGCGGCTGCACTCTGGACTTGCCAGGCCTTTCCAGACCCTGACAGACACCTCCATTTCCAAAGGAGCAGGCAAACCATTCATCTCTAAGGCTGATGGTTATATTATGTGTAAGTGAAGAAAGTGCTCTCTTTTTTAAAACAATGACTTCTGTGCTTACTGTTAAGATAAAAATTTTGATGATGAAGATTCCGTGGATGGTAATAGACCTTCCTCTGCCAGTTCTACGTCATCCAAAGCTCCTCCAAGCTCACGGAGAAACGTTGGAATGGGAACCACCCGCCGGCTTGGGTCATCCACTCTTGGATCCAAGTCTTCAGGTAAGACCAAATCCCRTGTGGTGTTATGGGGCCAGCTGTGCATGGTATTTGCCTGCAGTGTCCCTCAGAAGTGAACTCTAGGCTCTGAGAATAGCACATTATGGCTTTCTGTCTTCAATTGAATTAACACTGTGCTGATAAACTGGTAGGATCTAAATTTAATGTGCTGTGTGGATCTTTGCCACAATCTGGTGAGGCAGAGCCTATAGGAGGACAAAGTGAATATAGAGGTGAGCATTCTTGAGGCATTATTAGATCATCTGGATCTAGTCTTGCCTAAAACTGACATGAGACTTTTTCGCCAATTTCTTTTTATCAAGACTGAGAATATCCAGAAGTGAGATTGGACCTTCTGTCTTTAAAATATACTCTGTTCTCTATAAGTAGCATTATTGCTTGCAATACCAGCATAGATATGGAATTAAATAAATGATAGATTAGGTCTTTAAAGCTCTAAAAGTGTATTTACAATGTCTTCTTCCATAAATCCCTTCTCTCTCCTCCCCTCTAGACTGTCTGATCTGTCGTTATTCTCAACTGCCATTTTGCTGTCACATTTTAGATTTACATCCAAATTTCCTTTTTACCTCTAAAAATTGCAAAGCCACTGCTTTTAGAACTCTGCTATTTTTTTTTTTTTTCCATTGAGGTCTGGGAATTGAATCCATGGACCTCTGCCACTGAGCAAGATTCCAGAGCTTCTTATTTTATTTTGAGACAGGATCTTGCTAAGCTTACTAAGCCGGCCAGGCCCTTGTGAACCTCCTACCTTGACCTCCCAAGTCACTGAGTTACACCGCTCACACCATGCTCAACCTTGGCATCGGACTTTTGAGCCGTGGTGGTGCAAGGGAGGAATCCCACCAGTCCCAAACTGCCAAAGCTGACTGGGCTAGGTGAAAGCTGGAGGAAGCATTAGCCTTAGGATGCTGCCTCTGGATGGCCTTTCCTGGACTGGCTCCAGACTGTGGGTGTGTTGACTAGGTTAGCTTGGCGCCACCCTACTCCCACTCCCGCCAGAGCTGTCCTGCCAGCAGAAAGTGAAATTCAAAGTAGGGACTAAAGGAAGCATTGCTTTGTTTCTTATGTTGTTATTCCCAGTTCCTTTTAATTTGGGAAGTGTATTTTTTAAAATTAATTTTTGGTTATTGAGCTTAAATTCACTTACTATAAAATTAAATTCTCTTACCATTAAATTTTAAATGTAACATTTTTAATGTTTCATCTACCTTGTAGCAGGTATTAGAACTTTATTCCTTTTAATAGCTGAACCATCTTTCTAATCTTTTTTCTTGGTCTGTTCTTGGGTAATATCAGTTAAATAAAGAAAGCTTAGAAAACTTCTGCATGATCAGAATCCTGTTTTCCTTCCCTCCCCTTACCTATACCCCTTCTAGAAGTTTCTCTGGGTAAATTATGCAGAGACAGCAGAACTGCATTCCCCATAGGCCCACTCTCGCCCTTTCTTCATTTTGTTTAATCCCACAGTTGTGACTTTCCTGTTTAGCTCTGGCTTGTCAGATTCTTTGGGTTCAGAGATCAGCACTGGTCTTTGAGTCTTCTTCCCGGCTTGGGTACACTGTACTGTGCCTGATGCAGGCGAGGCGCTCAGGATCTGTCTGTTCAGTGGGATCCCAATCCTTGTGTTAGAAATGAGCACACACAGCGCCACATCATGAGGTGTGGCTGCTATCCATTTCTAGTGAGTTTGTCAAGGCAGTGTGAGTACTCTTCAGTAAGAGTGAGGATACTAGTTTACTGCCTGGAATTATCTATAAAGTCCTTTTCTGCCTAGGAAGTGTGTCAGGACCCCAAACACCAGATGCATATTTGATAAGAAGCTCTTAGAAAAGCAGTTAGACTTTCCAGTGTAAATCATTAGTAAGGGTTTCAAAGACCTTAGATACCAGTTTAAAAACCATTATTATGAAAAAGCAGACTGATAAAAGTATAACCTAATTTTCATGTGTGAAGTTCACATTAGCAGAGAGAGATAACTTTTTCYTGACGGTAACAATTAACTTTTAAGTACACAAAGCATCTTAGAACAGCTTATAAGGGCAAGGCTTTATAACATATGCTAAAATTAATTGGCGTGATTATCACAAGTTTATGGGAATGGAAATATTTTGAGATTAATATAAAGTTGGAATGAAACTGCAGTTCTTTAGATGTTGTTTGAATAGTCCACAAATTTATCATGCTGGACTAATAATAATAATAAATAAATAATAATTATTATTAATAATAATTATTATTCCCTAAAAAATTGAATTTTCTATTATATCTGTTTATAAGGAATCCTTATTAATGCAATATATATTATCTAAATACTTTAAACTGCAACTTTCCCTGCTTAGTCCAAGTGCACTTAAATGAATGTACATAGTATTATAAAATTACTATATTTTTCTAAATTCTCTCATCATTCTGAGTCTTCAAAAATGTAGGTTTAGTTATGTATATTTCATCTTTCTCCAGTGTATATTTTACACATTGTTTGTTGTACATTATTTCTGTTTTTAAAATTACTTTTTTTTTTTTTTTTTTTTTTTTACAGCTGCAAAGGAAGGTGCCGGTGCTGTTGATGAAGAGGATTTTATTAAAGCATTTGATGATGTACCTGTAGTGCAGGTGAGTAAAGATACTTGGTAGGATTAAAAACAGGGTAGAAATGTTCTTCAAATCTCACCTTTAAAGTATGCCTGTATAGTCAGCTTTATGTTACTACAACAAATTCCTGTGGCAACTTTCTCTTTATACAAAAAGAAAAGGTTTATTTAGCTCACTATCTTAGAGGTTCAAAGTCCAAAGAGTGTAGTGTAGTACAGGCTCAGAGAGGGCCACAAACCATGACTGCATTACTTTATGGTGGATGGCCAGAGACAGTGAGAGCAGGCAAGTGATTACATGTTGACCCAGGAACAGAGAGAATTGGGTGGAGCCAGACCCAGGCTTCTATCATAGTTACCTCTTATAATTGCCTTCAGAGGGTCCCCACTCAGAGAGGCAAGGCCCTCCCCTAGGCCCCACCTCCCAAAGTTCCAGGACCTCCCAGTGGCACACCTCTGGGGACCAGACCTTTAAGACATGGACCTATCAGCAATACTAATCCAGACCATAGCACTGCCAGATGCTGAATTCTTTACTGGGTTTGTTCGTTTTAGCTCTGGGATCTGAGGTGCAGATTAGAAAATGTTGGAGCCTTTTAAATGACTGAAATGTAGCAAGTCAAGGCCCAAAATGATCTTTCATTAAAAATAAGAAAGAAGTTGGTTCTTCTAGTGTTTTGTTTGTTGGTGAGGTTAAAAAATAAATAAACAAGCATGTTTATTTGGGGATCTATTTTAGAAAAACTATAAACTTGAGGAATTTAGTATCTGAAAAGCTATTGAATGGTTAAATAAAAGCCTAATTTATACTGTCTTTGATGCTTCAYTTAACTACTTAACAGATGTATTAAAGTATTTGTAAAATTTGGGATACAGTCAAACATTTTTTAAACTTGTGCTTCAGTACCTACCATCATTGACTGGAGGGCTGATAATGCTTTCTCAGTCTACTTTAAGTGTGCTCTGGATTCCTGTAGCACTTACTGTCTAACAGCTTTCCCTGCCACCTGATAATCCACCTGTGCTTACAGCAGGTATCGAGCTCAGGTTCATCCTGCAGTACTTGACCCTCTCAGCATTTTTGGTTGATGGTACCCTACCTGTCTTATAGTAAGACTGGGGATAAATGAGGAAGTAGATATAAAAGTGTTTAAAATTACAGGTGTAATGTGATATTTAAAGCAATAACATGAGTAATAAGTGACTCATGCGTCACTGTTTCTCTTGTAGGTTTCTTTCTCTTTTGTACATGAGATCTTCTGTTACATTTAGAGTAAGGGAGTGTTTCAGTCAAGGTTATTGACACATGGCAGCAGATCTAGTCAGTACACATTCTCAGTGGTGAAAAAAAAACTCATTCGGACAATCCTGCATAGATACTGTCTCATTGGTACTTAATATAAATGAATTAATTAATTTTTACTCTACTTGCTACATGCCTGTGACTTCACATAATTAAGAAATAATCTCTCTACTGTAAATTATCTTATATTAATTGTGAATTAATTTTACTTGCAGATTTATTCCAGCCGMGATCTTGAAGAATCCATAAACAAAATTAGGGAAATATTATCTGATGACAAACATGATTGGGAGCAGAGAGTAAATGCTGTAAGCCATTGACTTCATGTGGTTACCTTTTCTTTAGATTCCTTTCAATATCTTAAATATTTGATATGAGTTTGGAGAATAGCTTAGGTGAATTTTAAATAGTAGGTATTTTAAATATAGATGCCATATTTTCACTTGAACTTTTTAATAGARTTCCTCACTTAGGCTTCTATTTTTAAAACACACCAGCTTACACCATCATGCATTTGCTGTTCTCTTACCACAGACCTGCCTATGGAATGTCTGCAGACTGCCTCCACCTCTGCCTTAGTCAACATTTAATTCTCTGCTTGTTGGCCAGTAAACTGGCTTTTTAGTGACACTTTCAGTATATGGCCCTCAGGATTCTTTTCTTTATTCCTATCACATGCTAGAAAGTTATACCTCCTCTGTTTTAAAAGGTGGATTCATGAAAAGTATGTGGCTCAACATTTAAGTGAGGGTATGCCGTCTCTGCACAAAACTGTTTTTACACTGCATGGTTGGCAAGGCAAGAGGTGGTAAAATTGCTGTTGTATTCTGTTTCACATTCAGACCAGCCAGTTAATGAAGATGCATTGGAGGACAATATAAAAATACTGTAGGAATGCTTCTCTCATTTTCTTTTACCTCCCCTGCTCCCACCCCTGTACTGGGAATGGATCCCAGGGCCTTGCATGTACTAGGCAACTGCTCTGCCACTAAGATGTACCCCCAGCCCCCATGCTTCTCTTTGATTCATTAAATAAATGACAGTTGGAGTGGGATGTAGGAGATAGTAAATTTAGGAGGGGCTTTTTATAAGCCAAAATTAATGTTAGTTATCATTAGTATCTTAGAATCTATAAATATACCAAGATATTTCCCAAAATACAGTTTATAGATGGTCACAAAATGTGACCATCTAGATAGATAGATAGATAGATGATAGATAGATAGATAGATATAATGCTATATATAATGCTAGCAACTCAGGAGCCTGAGGCAAGAAGATTATTGCAAGTTTGAGGCCAGCCTGGGCAACTGAGTGAGACCCTGTCTCAAAATTTTAAAAAGTAAATAAAAAGGATTGGAAATGTAGCTCAGTGGTAAAGCACCCTGGGTTCAATTCCCAATACCAAAAAAGAAAGCCCACTTTGTAGAAATTAAAGATATTAATTAGAATATATTTGGTACATACTGCATTTAAAAAATATTTGATCTTATGATATGTAGATTTGTTCAATGTATGAGGCAATATTTAACTTGTTGAATTCTCTTGTAAAAATTATTTCTGTATCAGTTGAACTTTAATGAAGGCTTCTGTCTTGTGTATTGTGTTAAATATGTCTTACACAGATTTTGTATGTTCCTAACTGTTTTCTGTCCCTTAGCTAAAAAAGATTAGATCTTTACTTTTGGCTGGTGCTGCTGAGTATGATAACTTCTTTCAACATCTGCGTCTTTTGGACGGAGCCTTTAAACTCTCTGCTAAGGATCTGCGGTCTCAGGTAGTGCGAGAGGCTTGTATCACGTTGGGGTAAGGACCGTAATGCTCCCTGTTCTCACACGCCATAAAATAGGCTCATCATAGAGCTTCAGAGATGGTTCCTTACCCATGTCATCTGGGTCACTTTAACATAACCTCTGACTTATCTCCAAGACCCTTACCAATTAACACTTCTGTCTAAGCTTTGTAGTATTTTCTGCCCAATGATGTTGTAAAGAGTGACCGATTTTAAACTTTACTCAGTGACCTATCTCTGAAGCCTCTATCTTAAACTTGAAGCCGTTATTTATATTAATAATATAATATTAATGTAGAAAAAATGAAATTTTACAGAATTATGTTTCTCAGATGTCTCATTGATTGATTTATTTATTTTGCTGACAGGATATAGAGTAATTATCAGAAAGTTTGTTTGTAAAAGAGTATTATAGCTACAAAGTTAAAGTTAAGGCAGGTGCTGCAGTAACATCTTATCCTATGCCAAACTGTGTTAAGAAACTGTCAGATTATCAAAGCCATAGCCAAGAGTTGTTTGAATAGTTATTTATAGTTGTTTAAATTTGCGGGAGGCAGGCATATATTGAAGCATGAATTTTAGGTTAAATATAAAAGGGGCAAGGGAGATTTTCATATTTGCTTTATTGGCATACGATTAATTTCTTTTTTGCTATTTTAAGACTTGATTGAAAATGATTAAGAAAAACTCTTGGGTTAAAGGCTATTTGCCAAGTTCTCTACATGTACATTTAGAATTATTTTTTAACGTATTGTACTTTTATTGTTGTCCTTTATCCATAGTAACTTTAAATGAAGGCCCTTAAGTATTAAGAAGTTTATGTACTTCGCTGTTAATAGGAAGTATAACTACAATACGGTGTTCATTTCTTGCTGTAGGCATCTGTCATCGGTTCTAGGAAATAAATTTGACCATGGAGCTGAAGCCATTATGCCAACTATATTTAATTTAATTCCAAACAGTGCCAAAATTATGGCCACTTCTGGTGTTGTAGCTGTTAGATTAATCATTCGGGTAAGTATATCGTAAGGCTAGATGTAAAATATGCAATCAGTAAATATTGATAATTTTAAGAAATAATAGAGACATTTCTCATTGGAGTGATTATATATATTTTTTGTACTTACTTTTTAATTTGTTCTAATTAGTTATACCTGACAATAGAATGCATTTTGACATATCATATATAAATGAAATATAACTTCTCATTCTTCTGATTGTACATGATGTAGAATCACACCAGTCATGTAATCATATATGCACATAGGGTAATAATGTCTAGTTCATTCTACTACCCTTTCTAACCCCATGCTCCCTCCCCTCCCTTCTCTCCCCTCTGCCTAATCCAAAGTACACTATTTTTCCCTAGTGGTCCCCCCCCTTATTGTGAATTAGCATCCACATATCAGAGTAAACATTTGGCCTTTGTTTTTTGGGGATTGGCTTATTTGGTTTAGCACAATACTCTCCAGCTCCATCCATATTTCATTCATTTTTAAGACTGATTAATATTTCGTGTGTGTGTGTGTGTGTGTGTGTGTGTGTGTGTGTATGCATGCCACATTTTCTTTATCCATTTATTCGTTGAAGGGCTTCTAGGTTGTTTCCATAGTTTGAAATTGTGAATTGAGCTGCTGTAAACATTGATGTGGCTGTATCACTGTAGTATGCTTATTTTACTTCCTTTAGGTATAAACTGAGGAGTGGGATAGCTGTATCAAATGGAGGTTCCATTCCAGGTTTTCTGAGGAATTTCTATACTGCTTTCCATAAGAGTTGCACCAGTTTGCAGGCCCAGTAGCAACATAGGATTGTACATTTTCCCCCACATCTTTGCCAACATTTTTTGTTGCTTGTATTCTTGATAATTGCCATTCTGATTGGAGTGAGATGAAATCTTACAGTAGTTTTGATTTGCATTTTTCTAATTGCTAGATATTACCTACTTCCCATTTTTAAGTTTCAGTTTCTCCCAAGAGGCAACTCTTGAAACCTTAGGGCTTCATGATGTTGAATAACCCTATTCAGAATATTCTTGACTACTGTGGGTTACTTTGCATTAGTTTTAGTTCTTACTGTTCTTGTTTGTGCTGCCTACTTCAAATAGTAAACCCAAAGTCATTATTATACATTTTCTTGAAACCATGTTAGAGTAAGCAGGGTGTGATGGTGCACACCTGTAATCCCAGCTACTTGGAAGGCTGAGACAGGAGGATTGCAAGTTGGAGGCTAGCCTTTGTAAATCTGCAAGATCCCATCTTCAATAAAATTTAAAAAGGGCTAGGAATTCGAAGTGTGGCTCAGTGGTAGAGTGCTTGCCTAACATGTGAGATGCCCTGGTTCAATCCCCAGTGGGGGTGGAGGGGAGAGCCTGAAACAATGTTTCAGAATATATTGACATGAAGAATCCCTTTTTTTTTTTTTTCTTGCTACTGGGGATTGAACCCAGGGGCCTTAGCCACTGAGCCACTTCCCTAGTCCTTTTTTGTATTTCATTTTGAGACAGGGTCTCACTGAGTTGCTTAGGGCCTCACTAAATTGCTGAGGCTGGCTTTAAACTTGCAATCCTCTTGCCTTAGCCTGAGCTGTAAAGACTCCTTTTAAACCTACTCAGATCTCTGCTGTTTAGATTACTTAGACCTCATGCCAATGATTGTTTTGATTTTAGACTGATTTATATATTATTACATTGTTAGCTCTTGGCTCTGTCAATTTTGTGATGGCCTTTGACATGCCAGTGAAATTTTAATTTTCTTTTTAAATTTGATGACATGTTAATCCGAATATATTTGTGCTATAAATAGGTCGGGAAGGACAGAGTTCTCTTAATTGTGTTCTGTTCTGTTTTTGTATTTACAAATTTATCTCAGTTTTTTTAACCCGATTTTCATTTTTCTCCACAGCACACACACATCCCTAGACTAATACCTGTTATAACAAGCAACTGTACCTCTAAGTCTGTTGCAGTTAGAAGGTAAATTTTTAGTGTTTTTTGTTAATTTTAAATTATTTAAAAACCAAAACCAACTCTCAAATCTCCTTCCATGGTTAAATCTTATATTTGAAACGTTTAATAGCATTTAAGATCATTGCAGCAACTGCTTTGGTTGAAGGATCAAGATAGGAACATATTGGAAAGTGAGTTTGGACAGCCTCTAATTTGTGTGTGTGTGTGTCTGAGTGTGTTTGGGGGGGTAGTAGTAGAGAGGGGCAGGGAGAGGACCCCTGTACACCTTTTTCTGAGATAGTTCCTCTGTGTCTTTGGTCTCCCCCCGCCCATTCCCTGAGTAAAGGCAGTATAAATATCAGTATAATATCCCAATTATATCAGTATAAATATCCCAATTATTTCAAGTACTACCTAGGACCCCAACAGGAAATCTTGGAGGGAACTTAGTTTTTCAGGGTATTTTCTCCTTTGTTTTTTCCCAAGGCAATCTGTAAAATTAATGGGAAGACCAATCCCCCGGCTCTGTAACATGTGTTTACCTTTTGTAAATGTGCACATTCTGTATTAATACATTATTTAGGGCAGTATGAAAACAAGTAATGACGCTGGACCCTTTTGCTAATGGTGCCATAAAGCTTAGCCTTCTCATTGGAGGGAAAGTCTGTGTCCTGTCCCCGTCTTCCTGTGGACACCATCAGTGCTTCTTCACATTCATATGCTTTGGTGTTTAGTCCCGATTCTTCTTTATGTTCTACTTTTTCTAATTGTAAATATTAGAAGGACCTTTCTGTGGAAAGTAATATTGGGTAATCCCAGTAACTCAGAAGGCTAGGGCAGGAGATTGTGAGTTGAAGGCCAGGCTGAGAAACCTAGGGAGACCTTTCTCAAAATTAAAAAAGGAGGGTGGGGTGCTGAGGATGTAAGTCAGTGTACCCCTAGGTTCAGTCCCTGGTACCAAAARAGAAAAAGAAAAAAGGTATTATTGGGCCATTTAAGGAAAAACGCTGTTTGCTTTTCACTGACACACATGTAACTAAGTTCTGTAATTCTTAACACTTTTCAGGCGCTGTTTTGAATTTTTAGATTTGCTTCTACAAGAATGGCAGACACATTCACTGGAAAGGTGAGCATCTGCCTGCTTTGCAAATGTTCTTCCCTTTGGGTTGAATCTTGAAATTGAATGCCATATAAAGTGGTCCAAGCCACCTTCTCTAAAGAATGAAGGAATTGAAGGATTCACTTGCATTATGGTTGTTACCACAGATATGTGAAACACATATTTGTAGAACCTTTTGGGAAATGTCATTGATTGAAATATTCATGTGCCCAGAGATGGGGGCAAGTGAGCACTAGTGATGATTAGAACTACCAAGCCACCACAATGCTTTGCTGAGGCTGCTGCGCAGCAACAAACCTGTCAGTTCCAGGGAGATAGAGATTTAATGCTGTCTCTAGGCAGGATGTACCTTTTAGGTACTAAAAGAAATATCACTAATTTGAAAGTTTTCTTTTCTATTTGACAGCAGTTCTCTTTACTCAGGTTGATATACAATGGTGTTATATCACCATAATTTTAAAAAGCAAGATTGTGGCATAATTATTGAAGTATGTCTCTATTGATTTTGCGATTCCTTCATTCCTGTCAAGTTTGGGTGCCTCTCATTGGGTGTCTTATATTTGGAGATAGTAAATGAGATTGTGCCCCGTGTTTTTAATGGTGTATCATATGGTTTCAGAAGAACTTGCAGCATAGTAAATATTTGATTAACAGTGGAATTTTAAGTAATACGAGCCCCATTCCATATTGATTCACCTGGTCAGAGGTGAAACAAAGTCAAACTTTCCGGTGGTGAAATTTCATCTGTAAACCCTTGTAATGCAGAGGATAGTCATACAGTTAAAAATATTCCCTTGCTCTTTAATCTCATGAGCATTGTATCCTCTTTAGTGGGTGATGGTTTTATATAATTCAGAGATAGAAAGTGAAATGAGGGATTCACTGTGGGGCAGGAGGGCAGGATAAAATGTGTGTGTTCATTTTCCTCTTAGCACTTAGAACCTGACTTAGCAGGTGACTGCTAAATATTTTTCAAAAGAATGAGGCAAGGACTTTGAAGTGCTGATCAAATTAGCCACTAGTCTTTATTGTGCGATATTGTTGAGACTCTTCACACCAGTCATTTCCCTTGTCTTAAAACTTGGTTAAATATTTAGTAATATGTTGTTGATTTCTTTACAACTAGAGTAAAACACAACTAAAGAGATTTTTAAAAATTATTCTTGGGCAGGGGTTGTGGCTCAGCAGTAGAACACTCGCCTCGCATTTGGGAGACCCTGGGTTCGATCCTCAGCACCACATAAAAATAAATAAGTGAAATAAAGGTATTGTGTCCAACTACAACTAAAAATATATATATATATATATTAAAAGAGAGAATTTTTTAAAAAAATTATTATTGTTAAACTAGGCAAAGGTGGTGCATGCCTATAATCCCAGCTACTCAGAAGGCTGAAGAAAAAGGATCTCAAGTTTGAACCTAGCCTCGGCAACATACCGAGACTCATCTCTTAGAAAAGTAAAAAAGCCAGGCACAGTGGTACTTATCTGTAATTCCAGCAACTTGGGAGTTGGAGGCAGGAGGCCAGCCTGGGCTATTTAATGAGACCCTTTCTCAAAAACATAAAAATAAATAAATAAATAAATAATATTAAGGTTGTAGCTCTGTGGTATAGTACCMCTGGGTTCATTCCCAGTACTAGAAAACAAAGACAACAATAGATAACCTAACCATATTAAATAGTAATGGAACCTGAAAAGAGAACATTGTTTCATTATAGAAAAGTGGTATAGATAGCCTCCTTATTTCACTGCTAGGATTGTTATGATCCATCTCATAATTTGTTTTGAAACTAGCTGTGACCATGGAAGGGCAGGATTTTGTTGTTTGAATTCATAAAAGATTGAGCTAAGTGAAAAAAGCCAGCTGTGTTCTAAAAACTCACAGAAGAAAGCAGGGTAATTCCAGTCCCCAGGGGAGGCTGGGGTGGAGTTGGGGGTATGGTATTGGGCCATAATTAAAAATTAAGACCCTGGAAGAGTGTCTGATCTTCTGGGCAGCAGGTTAGTTGACTGACCTTGGCACAGTGACACTGTGTTCCTATTTTGAAGTTGTTTCACACACCTGTCTTCATCTACATAAAGTCATGTGTTTATGATTGTTATTACTTTCTTTTCTAAATATCTAGACACATATCAGTATTAGCTGAAACAATAAAGAAGGGAATCCATGATGCTGATTCTGAAGCAAGAATAGAAGCCAGGAAGTAAGTTTTTATTGTATGCCACTTTAAAAAAAATTATCTACTTTTACATTTCACGTATGTTGTATGCATTTCCTTGCTGAATAAACCCATGAATATACTTGAATGTACTTCCTTAGTCATAATGTTTAAATATGCCCCTGCAAAGGCCATTTCAGAATATTTCTCTTGTTTTTTTTTTGTTTAGTAGTTTGGCTGAGTAATTTTTTAGTATAAACCGGACTGAGAGGTAGACAACAGAATTTGCTCATTTCAGTTAAAAGTATGTCATGAGCCAACATGCTTTATTGATTTATAAAAAATCACAATCACAGGCCTTTTTCCTTGTGATTGCATCTTTGTTGGAGGTGGTTGTGACATTAGGACCGAGTATGTTCCAGTCATTTGGCCATAGCCCYCTGAATCTTGAGCCTCCCTGGAAGCAGTTTTGCCATGACTGTAAAGAAGTTTGCTGTTCAGACTTAATTCACTTAGGGCTGGGGCTGTAGTTCAGCAGCAGAGGGATTGTCTGGCATGTTAAGGCTCTGGGATTCATCCCCAGCACTCAGATAGGGSTTGGGGCTGGGAGGGAGAGACACTCTTGGGCAGTGCACAGGTGATTACGGCTGGTTTTGCACCTGTGATTATTTTTCCATACTTCCATAGTTGACCATCTGTTCTAATTGACACAGGTTGTGTCTCATCTCACTTGCCTGGAACATTATAGTTTTCCTTAGCTACAAGAATACTTTCTGCTCCAGTTTCTTACTACATTTTGACTGCCCTCACAGTTAAATTATGTTTCCTTGTTTCTGAGTTTATTATAACTCTGAAGTGAATGATTCCTGCCAAAACAAGTGACATAATTTGTTTAATGATCTATCTGATAATGCTATATATCTTATCCTCATATTCTCCCACTCCCAGTTTTTACATAGTCCTTTAATCTTAATACAGATTTTAAGTAAAGTACCCTTTAACATTTTTCTTTTTCATTTTTCTTTTGTTTTTGTTACCTAAGACAGTTGAAAATATCTCAAATCAAGGAGTGTTAAATTGTATTTATAAATGCTCCCATTAAGGAGTCTGTTCTGTGTTCTGCGTATGGTTTTAATTTAGCTCTGTCTTCCCCAAGGCTCCCAGTCTTGGAAGTTAGATCCTTTAATTCCCATCTTATAAATGAGACTGAGGTTCAAAGAGCTTAAGTAACTTACCCAGTGCCGAAAGGCTCCTAAGCTGGGAGGCCAGGGTTCCTGCAAGGCCTCCTTGGCTTGTCCCCTTTTCCTTATACCCTGCATTCCTATTAGCAGGCAGGTTGAGTCCTCAAGAATATCTTGTAGAAGGAAGACCTGTTAGGATTCACAAACCAGACCAGGCATTTGTGTGCTTTCCCTAGATGTTACTGGGGCTTCCATGGTCACTTCAGCAGAGAAGCAGAGCACTTATACCATACTCTGGAGTCCTCCTACCAGAAAGCCCTGCAGTCCCATTTGAAGAACTCGGACAGCATAGTGTCTCTGCCCCAGTCTGATCGTTCATCTTCCAGCTCTCAGGAGAGTCTCAAGTAAGGAACTTAGCTTTGCTTACATTTAAAAGTTTGCTCGTGGAAACATAAATTCACATGTATGCCTGTTAAAATTCCCTCTGACTTCAGGTGAATTCTGGTTCTAGGTTAGATGTCATGGAGATAGGTAAGAAACAGGAAGCCTTGGCTTCTATCATAAGTGATTTTCAGTTAAATTTATATGGCATTCTAGAATACAGTTTTAGAATAAGGTATATAAATTATAGAGTAGTGTGAACCACTCAGAGAGTCTTCCAAGAACTTGAAAGTGTTAACTTGGAGACAAGTTTGGGAAGACTGGTTATTTAAAACATGGCACTTAATATATCATCATCTTTGTTCTTTATTTCTAATTTCCATCTCAATTACAGTTTTGCTATGTTTGAAAGATATTCCAAAATATAGTGCTAAAGATTTTCAGTTTAAGAAATGCAGTTTATAAAATTATGGTCTCAATTGCCTGAATAATTCTGAAAACTCTGATATAATTCTTTATTATCATTATTTCCTGTTATTGTTTATATTTGTGTGACTGCAGATAAGGTCCACCCTTGACAATAAATGTATATGCTTTTCTTTTTAGTCGGCCGCTCTCTGCCAAAAGAAGCCCAACTGGCAGCACCACATCTAGAGGTAAGAGGAACAGTGTCCACAGGAGGCCACAGGAGGTCAATTCCCAGCCACTGGGGGGTGCTCATATCCTAGAGACAGTGCTTCAGTGCAGAAAGTTGTGGCCTGCTCTTGGGTSTGAGTCAAGTGCCACTCTGCCCTCTGCCCTGACTGTCCTCAGCAGAGATCCACTCTCATTGTGAGGATGGCTTAACAGGCAGAAATTAGGCTGTGACCATTTCTTTTTGCTTCCCTCCAGTATTTCTATGCTGCCACAAATAGTGTTGCTCTTCTGTCAGCTCATGTGATAAGAGAGTGAGAGCTACTGGTGACAAGATGATCCTCACCTCTTAGCAAATTGCAGGACACCAAAGTGGAAGGAAGACGAGGCCCCTGTGTGGCAGCAGTGGAATAGCTGCTAGAGGTCGGAGAGGAGGATATTTCCTGCAAGGGGAGAGCCTCTGTAGGTCCTGTGCCTTCATGCCACAACATGAGGAGGCTGGCCAGATGGGACCAGTTTTTCATTGTATCATTTCTTCTCATAGTAACCAGAAATATGGGTCATTTCTTTGGATTTACAGTTACTAAAAAGCAGGTATAACATATAGGTGACAATAGAGATCACTTTTGGTTTTCTTTGGCATTGTCTGAACCCTTATCTTCAGGGCAAGGAAACTCCAGGTCAGTTCCACAGACTCCAGCATTTATTACAAATTGGTATTCGTTTTCAAGAAAAGCAAAGGAGCATCAGGTTTTTAAGAAATATATATTTGAAATTCTCTGTCATCCTTACTGACATTTTCTCCTTCACTACCAAAGCTTCTACAGTTAGCACCAAATCTGTATCAACAACTGGATCCCTCCAGCGATCTCGAAGTGACATCGATGTGAACGCAGCTGCCAGTGCCAAATCTAAAGTCTCCTCGTCTTCAGGCACGACGCCCTTCAGTTCTGCAGCGGCTTTGCCTCCAGGGTCCTATGCATCTTTAGGTAACCAGATCCCCCTACCCACTCTTCACATCCTGTTCTGGTGTCCAAGATGATCCTCACCTCTTAGCAAATTGCAAGACACCATAATGGAAGGAAGACTCCCCTGTTTTAGGATTGATATTTAAGAGACAATAACTATACCTGGTACTGGTCCCCAGCCACCCTTTGTCGAGTGTTTCCTTTCTCTGGAGCATCATCCCCTTTAGTGGTGAAGGACATAGTCCTTGCAGGCTATGCTGGCCCTGAGCGCACACAGGCTTCCCTCAGTTCACTCCCTCATTCTCCACGGCCAGCCCAACCAGTGCTCAGCCACGCTCATATTGCCAAAGCTGACTTTTCCCCCTCCTGGCACTGTTGGAGGCAGAGGGCTCAGTGAAGGACTTACCAGACACTGTTTCTATAGCTAGGCATCCCTCAGAGTGGGGGAGTGACAGGCAGACTCAAAGAATGTGACATCCTTGTTAACCAGCATAGCCACGTCTGCATCAATAAGTATTGTCCTTTCTCACGTCACCTGGGAGGAGCACACCTGTACTTCAATGATCACCTGAAAAGGTTTTTAAAAATTCTTTAAAATTATTTTAACACATTTTCAATACCTGACTTAGTGGTGGGTCAGTTACTCATTTTTTTTTTTTTTCAGCAAACCCTTAACACTCACTTGGTTTAAGACTGATGGTTTATTGTATTTTTGTAAAAGCCAAATCATTCCACCCAAAATCTGAGCACATCCACTTTGAATGTTAAAGAAATTAATAAAATTTAAACTTGAAATACTGAAATGGAGTTACATATGTAGCCCACTAATGAATTCCAAAGTCAGTTCTAAAACTAAAGTTCTGAAACATGAGTGAGAAGCACAGTGAGAGGACACACACCTAGAGAAGGTCCCCGGGGCTGCTGTTTGTTAGCCCTGAGACCTTGCACAAGCCCATGAATCTTCAAGTCTATCTCCCTAACCATTAATTGCTCTTAATACTGGTCACCTGACTCAAATATAAAATAGGGATCTATAAAAATTGTATGAAGTTTCTTTGCAAACTGTCATCCTATAAGATAGGTGAAAGTGGGATTGTGACAGGAATGTCATTAAGTTGAAAGATATATATCCTAGAGCACATGTCAGTCAGTCTTGTTTTTTTCCTACGGAAGCACCTCATACACACACATATTCCCAGTAAGAACTCTTTTTTACCACTTTAACTATTGCACCATTATGTGGAAATGTTACAATGTTCTGATGATGTGTCATCATTGAGGAAGGGTGAAGTCACAGCTCTTTCCTCCTATGGTGAATTAGTTACAATTTTAGTTCAGTCTTTCAGGTATTGACCTCTTAATATTTAAATTCATTTGATCTATTTATAATTAGCATTTGTTTCATTGCTGGGAAAACATAAGTAAAACCAGCCTTTAGCATCCTTCATAGTCTTGTTTTTTTGTGCCTATTTGGGTGTTTGGATGTGGACTGGGCAGGCTTCCCCCAATGCTAGTGAAAAGCTCCCAGATCTTTGACAGAGAACTGACCTTCAGAACCACTGGGGACAAGCCCTGCACTCAGTGCTGACTGCAGACAAGACTGCAGGACTCGGACTCTCTTGGTTTCTTGAGAACCCTCCCTCTGCTTTCCTTATTTATGTCCTGAAACAAAACCAAAACACATGGAAAACCGAGTAAAACACAGTCCTACAGAGAATTTGTTACAGTTACTGCATAGCTGACCCATGACGTCTCTGCACAAGTGTAGCACTAAAGCTGATGATCCTTTTCCGAACTTCTAGAGTCCAGACCCCTGAGGGAAGACTTGGAGTACGTAGGCCTGGATGCAGGTACTGAGCTCTCAGCTGCTGCTGCTGGGCGTGTAGTTGGGCTAGGCGTTGCTAGAGCCGGCTTCTCGGCTTCTTGTCGCTTCCTACTGCCTCCGCCCTGTGGGTGGCTCGTTAGTCCTTTTAGTCTGTTCTGCTCCCGCCACCCCTTCTGCTGGTACTTTCTTCAAGGAAGAGGAACTCTTAAGACAATGAGGATTGACTCAAACAAAAAAAGACAACCAGTCACTCTTCCAACTGTGGCACGACCCTCGGTTGCCCCTTTGTGTGCTGTTTTCCAAAGGCAAAGCCACTACACCATGCTCAACTAGTTTCTGTCATAGGTGCACTTACTTGCTTTAGAAACTCTGCTTTGCTGTTGAACTTGTTTCCCTTTTGATTTTGTTTTAACTTGTACTTTTGCTTTTTTTAGTAGCTAATAACATTCTGCTTTTTTAATTTCTTGAATGTTACTAACTGTTCCCTGTTATCCCTTCCCTTGTTTTTTAATTTGCATAAAGATGGTACTACCACTAAAGCGGAGGGTAAGCGGTTTGTTTCTGTGATTGAGGTGTGTCTCACTTTCTCTGGCCCTCTGTTCTCACCGAGTGTTGCCCGGTGCCCACTTGTCCTCACCAAGGTCCCTGCATGAGCTGTTGCACGCTGTCTCCCCCTACCCCCTTCTTCATTCTGTTTCCCCTGGGATTTGCCCTCTTTCTACCTAGTTCTCCTCCTCCTTTCTTGTTCAGTCTTTGTTCATGTGAATTTGGCACTGAAGTTTGCTGTATGTGGTTTTTTAACGCTGAGTCCGCACTCTGGGGAGGAGCAGTGACGTCCTGTGGTGTGCTGCTGTCCTTGTGGGCTGCCTGTCTCAGGGTTTATTATTCCTAATGTACCACCCTAGCTTTTGTTTCCTTTTCTTTCCTTTTGTGCTTCTATGTGGGCCTCTCAGGATTTGCCTTTCCTTTTTTGAATATAAATTTTCATGTCAATTATTTGGTTAAAGGCTGGTAAAAAAAAAAAAAATCTACCAGATGGTATAAAGAAATTTTACAAAATACTCTTCCCCTCCTAAAGATATTGCTGAATTACATGATGCCATTTTTGGTGTGTCACTGACTCATGGCCCATTTATTCATTTACTGTCATCCATCTGCTCGTGGACCATGAACTAATTGCCTTCCATGCTGTTTTCTATGGTACACATCAAGGATGCGGCATGGTGAAAGCAGTGGGCATGTCAAAAGCCACTGGATTTTCCTTTTGGTCACTGCCAAGAAGCTCTTTCTGATTTTTTGCATTGCCTGTTGAACTTTAGATACAGCCATTCCAGCCTGTACCGATCTGATTAGCAGTGTTAGACAGGAGCATCATTTTCCAGAATTTCTGGATGGAAAGCATATACTACTTCAAAAAAACTGAAATTTAGAGGTGCCTTCTCTGCTTAAGATTGTGACTCTGCCAGATATGGTGGCACATGTCTATAGTCCCAGCTACTTCAGAGGCTGAAGCAGGAGGATCGTTTGAGCCCAAGAGTTCAAGATCAATCTGGGCAATATAGTGAGACACCAGCTCAATAAATAAATAAAGTAGAAGAGTGGCTCAGACCTGCCAGYCTCTAGGATAATGACAACAACTGGAACTAGTTAGTTCATTTTCATGCATTATTAAGATGCTATAAAGAGCTAGCATACAAAGTGAACTGAGTTTTAGTTTGTGTGAAATTCTAGTTTTTAAATCTATAGTTCCGCTGGGATTGTAGCTCAGTGATAAGAGTGCTCACCTAGCACGTGTGAGGCCCTAGGTTCGATCCTCAGCACCACATTAAAAAAAAAAATAAAGTTATTGTGTCCAACTACAACTAAAAAATAAATATTAAAAAAAGGAATAAAAATAAATCTGTAGTTCCTAAGGGGAAAAAGTAGGAGTTTTTTTTTTTTTTTTTTAAAAAGCTGAACACAGTCTCAAGATAATGTATCTCAAATATAAAGATTATCTGGTGCTTGCAAAAAAAAGAAACAGTCTTGGGTGTTTGCTTCTCAGGATGCTGATTAAGTTTGGAAGGATTGAGAGAATCTGAACTTCCAGCAAGCCTCACTGTTGACTCTTGGTGTTGGACAAGTTTGAGAAAGGAAACATTTTCTTTGGGCATTGAAACCTCTGACCAAATGAGAATCTCATTTGTCATAGCAAAAGGCTGAGGCTGGGTGTGGTTGTAAAGCTGAGTGGTTATTTTCTTCATTGGTTCAGCTGATATGAGTAACTTTTTATTTCTCCTTCCCATGGAAACAATCATGCATTAAGGCGGGGGGGGGGGGGGGATCCAAAAATCCAAGAAACAATCCTGAGTGCTTCCTCATTCTACCTAGCTGGAAATTGGAGGAGGAGTAGAATAATATAAGTGGAAAGGAAAGGAAAGACATTATATATATATTTTTTTTTTTCCCAGAATATCTGGATGTTTGATGTCTTTTCACAGAATTGTAATCAGCCCGTTATCCAACCTAGCCCTTGGAATTTTTTAAATATTTTTTKCTTCTCATCAGTTTAACATTCCTAAGTAAGGTCAGAATTGCCCTCTAAATAATTGTTGTGCAAAAGACCCACACTCTCTCTCTGGTCCTGCCTCTAGGAGGAGAAATAATGGAATGACMTAAGGGCTCTTAATTTTTAAGAGTGCAGAATCAGACACTAGAGAGCCTTATAGAAGGAGTGCAGGGAGTGTCCAACACCTGGAGCACCGCAGGCAGTCTAAGTCCTGCATGATGAGAGTGGGACAGGACAGGTGTCCCTGGCCAAGCTGTTACCTTGATGCTTACAGGGGTATTACTGTTCCTTTTGTGTAAACTTAGCTGATGATGCTTAGAAAAGCCATCCACCAGTAGTTAGGAAAAAAACACAGTGATAGTCACCTGGGGCCTTATGAGCATTTTCAGAATCCTTCTAGAATTTTTTCTTTTTGGTGCTGGAATTGAACCTTGCACATGCTAATGCAAGTGCTCCAACACTTTGCAGCACCTCCAGCCCTGGGCCCATTTTATTTTTTACCTCAGAGGCAAGAAGACATGATCTTTCAGCAGTGTGAGTCAGAGGATTTTGAATCAGTAGTAGTTGGATGCTCTAAATTAATAGTGTGGGCAAAAAAAGAAAATAAAAAATAAATAAAAGTTCAGGCAATACATTTGTATTTTGGCAACTTCAATATAGTGACTGAGGGGGGAAAAACACATGTGCCTATATATTTAATATTGAGGCAGGATCTTGCTAAGTTGCTCAAGCTAGCCTTGAATTAACAAACCTCCTGCCTCAGCCTCCCACAAATCTGTAATTATAGATGTGTGCCATCACACCCAGCTAGAAACAAAAATATTTTTAGGAATTATTTATTATACACAACAAGGAACCTTCTAATAGTTACAATTTATTAAGAAGAATTTTTATTTCTTTACAAAAAGTAAATTTTTGGACAGTTTATTTCTAGGTTATCTTTCAGTATGTTCATTAGTTTTGAAAACTGGGATGAAGAAACCATTTGTATTGTCTATTATGTTGCTCATGAGAAAATGTATGAATAGATATGGCAAAAAAATGCAAAGTCAAAGTCAAAGCTTAACTTAATAATTGAGGTTAAGTGAAAGTTAATTTATATAAAAATATATATAACTCATCTGCTCTTCAGGAAACAAACCTTACATTTTGGTTCAGTTAAACCTTAACATTTGGTATTGCTGTCTGTTTATCCAAGAACTCTGAAGTTTAAGTAATTGGCCTTTTTAGACAATGAAAAAAATGCATATTTCTAAATATAGAAGTAAGAGAGTAAGATTGTTTTACATTTTTCTTCTTAAAAGTATTAAAGAAAGGCAGCGGTGGTGGCTCAAGAGGAAGAGCGCTCACTTAGCATGTGTGAGGTGCTGGGTTCAATCCTCAGCACCGCATAAAAACAAAGATATTGTGTCCATCTATAACTAAAAAACAAATATTTTTTTAAGAAAGTATTAAAGTTTTCTTTGAAGGTAGTAGTTAGTACAGGTAGTAAAATGTATAATTGATGTGCTGGGATTGTGGCTCAATGGTAAAGCGCTTGCCTAGCACGGGTGRGGCCTGGGTTCGATCCTCAGCACTGCATAAAAATAAAGGTATTGTGTTTAAAAAAAAAAAAGGAAGAAAATTTTTTAAAAAATGTATAATTGATCAAGTTTTTACATTTGGTTCTACTAAAATGCTACATTTGAGTTGAGGTTGGTTTAATTGTGTCTCTAGGCAATGAGGTATAAAACCAACATACATATGCCAAGGTGTCCTAAAAAAGAGATTTACTTAAGAAAACCTTTTAATTTTTATAAATCGTAAATTGGGAATTTGCTTAAAAATTTTTTTAAAATATTTATTTTTAAGTTGTTAGTTGGACACAATACATTTATTTTATTTGTTTATTTTTATGTGGTGCTGAGGATCGAGTTCAGGGCCTCGTATGTGCTAGGCGATTGCTGTACCACTGAGCCACAACCCCAGCCCTGAAATTTTTGAAACCTGACAAAAAGCCCACTGATATGAAGCCATCTAGTGGTTTTCCAGTTGCCTAAGGTTAACCTGACGATAATCTATGCCTACAAGTTAAACCTAGTACCCAGGTTTCAGTTCCCATTTTGGAATCCTTTCTAGAAGAATTGACAGTGGGATGGAATGGAATCCTTATTATCAGTATTAAAAAGCTGCGAAGATAGAAACACTTGTTTATTCCAGGGATGTTGAAGGCTTTGCTCTCCTGCAGTTCTTTGGTTTTTCTGGTCATTTGTCTGCTTTTCTCTGGTCATGTTGGTTTGTTGGTGCATCTCTTGTTCTTCCCTCTAGAATTTTTCTTTGTTTTGTAGTTATTTATCTCTTATTTTTATTGCTCTTACTATGCTGTTATTTCTTCTTTCACATCTGTCTTCTTTCTTCTGTCTGTGTCACTTAATAGATCACATTATAGAGCTGAAGTATATTTATTCTTACTGGTTTTTGCAGTTATTTAGTAGACT